CAGACGCCCAGAACGTGGTCCAAAAAGACTGTTATCATCGCGCCTGAAAAAATTGAAAATGTATCAGGACTAGAACAACTGTTAAGAAAACTTATGAGGTTTCGGATTAAAGTAAATTCAAATTCAAAATCATAAAAAATGAGAATTTAATTTCGCGGATTAAACCAAAAATTTGAAATTCAAACCAAAATTCCATTCATTTCCTCTATTTTTTCAATGTCAATTCAAAAACACAAGAACTATTTACATCCACCGGCAACCGGGAGATCCGAAAAGCTTCCCCTCAATCCCAGATTAATTTCATAAAATTAAAACTGCAAATTCAAACTAGAATTCAAATTATTTTAATTTTTTAAAAATCCATTCCAAAACGCGAGAACTATTCCCCTCAATCCTAGAGGCCCTATCAACTGTGCGTGTTTTAATGCAGAACCGTAGTAACTTCCCCGTTTATCAGGGTGTCAAAACCGCCAAAAGCTTGCTTCTCCTGGGCAACCAAAAGAATGTCCCTCTAAGTAAAGGAAATGCTGACGAAATACCATCACCCCGGATAATTTCCCGAATTTCCGCTGCACACCTTACAAAATATGGGTTTCAAAATTCGACATTTTTAAACGCTTCAAACTAACCAATGGGCCCCGGTGATCAGTTGTGGTGATGGGGTGCGCGAAGTTCGATTACTGTCCGCTGTCGGAGCAGGCGGATCGTCGGTTTCCATGTTTTCAACGCCGGACGGACGATCATCACCACCATCTGGTGGTGCATCACTACTACTGTTTATGTGAGTTTCAATTGCTCGTTGCAAATCCCAGTTTAATGATTCCAGCGTTGCCTCTGCGATTCCCTGATCCTGGACATTTGTTATTTCCTGGAAAAGACCCGTCCTAGAATTAAACTGTATAAATGGCAAAAACGCCAGACGCAGTTATGCCAGGCCTTTCGATCCTGGGCTGCATGCCTTCAGCTAGTACGCAGTGCCTGATTGGTACATGTGCGCCATCCGTTCGAAGGTCTTCCGAGTGGTCGTTTACTTTCTCGTAAATATCTCTTGCTAATGCGCGATATCCACTGGTTATAGGCAAAGCGAGCAACGTATCCTGCCCATCGGATTTTACTTTCCCCCGAAATTGCTACGAAATCCTACACGCTGCTCATTTGACGAAGAGTCTGATTGTTTATGTGGTCACGAATAGATACTCCAAGCATCCTTCGTTCCATCATTCTCTCTGTCACAGCCAGTGTTCGCTCTTCTACTATCGTAAATGGCCATTTTTCGTAACATGCACAAAAAAGATACAACAAGGACCCTTTACAAGCTAATATTTTCCACTCAAAATGGCAAAAATTAAAAGCGCTTTCGAACAACAAAAAATAAACCCCTTTGAAAAATACAATAAAATACAATCGTCTTTTATTAAAAACAACAAAAACAAACCCCCTCATGGACAAATAAAAATGTCCCTCATTTAAATTAGCAAAAATACAACCCAAACAAAAATTTCGAAAAGGAAAGGAAAATTAAGAATGCACAGACCTGGAACTGACGTATCATCTCACCCCGTGCACTGTAATTATCCGTGTTATCCATCTGTAATAGAAATCGCACCTCTACTCACCGTTTAAATTATGTACGAAATGAATTACACGACCGTAAACGAACGATTTTAAAGGTTAGCCCATCATCATAAACGAATGAATATGCAAAATTTCTAATACGAAAGCAGAAATCACAAAATTACGGAGAAAGAAATAAGAAAATATTTTAAAGTTGGAAGAAAACAAAAGCAAAGCCAGGAGATGACGTAACATTTCTGAACCTCTTGAGGGCCGTATAAGCTGACTATCGCATGATTGTAACATGGAAGTAATATGAACTTAAAAAAGAAGATAGGAATAGCACGAACCATGTAGTGCAAGATGTAGAAATATTGTTGGTACAGGAAAAATAAATACGAGAAAGTTAAGATGTTTCGGTCCATGCAATTATATACGTCTTAGCTCAACACCATGACTGGACCTCGTCAGTATGAAAAGACCTTCCTTTACAAGTTGGGACTAAAACGAAGTGTCGTTTTAAGTTCAGTTTTGGTGCGTGCCCAATGCGATTCTAGAATACTTGAGCAGCTGTATGTCATCGACGTTCGTTGTCGCGTCATTGATGCAACTGGCAACTTCTCCATTTAACTTGTTGTTGCGCTCTCCGAGATCACGTAATACCGTAGAGGTGTACCACGGGGTCTCCTCACCTCACTGGTAGCCTTCCCCGTGTTCGATTAACCGTGCGTGGATGCCACTCCATTATCCGCTTCGTCAATCTATTATCTGACATCCGTGCCACATGACCAGCCCATCTCTTTCTGCTGGCGTACACTGCTCCAATAATGTCCTTCACGCCAGATCTGGCTGGGAGCACTGTAATGTGCTGCAGCCTGTTGGCGCCAGCCATTCGTCGCTCTATTACGATATTACAACATAATTTAAGGATCACACGAAGCGCAGTGCCACCCCTTTTTAAGGCCTGTAGAGATCGATATGGTGACAGATAAAAGACGGACGAAACGAATAAATGATTGGTACCAAAAAAACAAGTCAAAAGAACAGCTGGAAGGCTGTAGATGCGCTGATCCGCTAACTGGAATGTACGATGTGCAAAGAATGCGGTGGGCACAAAACCGAAGTCAATGGCATGGTTGTCGACGAGACTGTACCATTGGAGAATGTCCAGAATATTGAATCAGCGGTGGATCAGTTCAAAATAATAATTTGCGGCCGTTGGGAGGTCCAATAATTAATGATATGAGGCTGTTGGAAGGCCCAACAATAATCTTAAAAACAAGTGGACAGCTGAAAACAAACAAAACATGAGGCAGCCAGAGTTCGAAAATTTAAACCTAGGATGATGGGTTAGTTTAATGAGTTACGGGCCGGAATTTTTACACCATTCAGGCACTGCTACGGCACCACTTGTGGCTCTTAACAGGTAGTATTACCCTAATACTTACGATTCATCGACGTCCTCTGTCATCTTTACTATACTTCTATCCATCTTTTCTTCATCCCTCATTTTGCCTCTCGTCCTTCCCTTCCTCATCTAACCCAGTGCATACAGTAATCTGTTATCTCATCAATATCCTGCAGGAATTGTT